AGCCTTCCAGTATCTGAAGGAGGCCTACAAGAAAACTGTGGTGGGATTTAATATAATGGTATATAGCGACAGGACGAAGGGAAAAGATTATAACCCAAAAAAGAGTAGACTTAAACTAGATATTACAAAGAAATTCTGTGTCCAGCCCAGAGACCCTACTGTGAGGGTAGTGAGACACTGGAACAGATTGCCCAGAGAGTTCTGGATGTTCTGACCCTGGCCTCCACCCAGGCCAGGCTGGATGGAGCTTTGAGCAACCTGGTCTAGAGGGTGTTCCTGCCCTGTTCCAGGTGGGTTGGAACTAGATGATCTTAGAGGTCTCTTCCAACTCAAACCATTCTATAAAAGCAATTGGAAAAGGTACACAAGCCTTCACCCTGTGGAGATGACTTTTGTCAGCCATGAAAGGAAGATGTCCCTTCAGAAAAGACCTGATATATTTTCTAGGCAAGTGGATCACTAGGGATGAAGTTATTCAGCACATAATGGAATTGGCTGTGCTGGAGGTAATGTATGTATGACCTCAATGGTGATCAGTTATCCCAAGATACAGACAACACCAAGTTCCCACAATCTGTACGGTAAAAATTTGTACAGAGTGCACCATCTTGTAAGCAAGCAGAAGCAGCAATGGTTTGGAAAGATAATGAAAATCCAGCGGTAGATGAAGTGGCTAGTCTACTTTGACAATATGAAGGAAATCTCTCTTACTCCCTATGGGTTTGTTTCTCATCTGTGGAGAAACAGACCTGGGAGTTCCAGCAATTCAGAGACAGTATCTCTTATTCCCTACCTATATAGTATTCAGTATCTCCGCTATTAATCCAGTATCTCAGCCATTAGAATTGAGCATTCCTGTTCTCAAGGGAGGGGATATAGTGGGTATATACTGCATGCCACCTTCTAGTTTTACCTGCATGATTATGGAAAGGATATGAGAAAGTGGGATATCAAATCCACTTCAACCCTAGAGGCAGGTATACAAGAGTTTTGAGGAAGAGCAATTCAAATAGGGGATTCTTCCAGGAAAATAGCTGCTCTAGTTTCCAGTGGACAGTCTCCTAGACAAAGAAGGCGGTTTGATCCTGAGTTGGATAACAAGTCTTTTGGTTTGCATTCATGAATACAATAACCAGAACCAGAGGGGCCCTATTTTCTAGTCATGTGGAGGAATGAGACAATCGGGTTTATTGGAATGTATGGATTTTATGGCCTGGCGTATTAGAAGCATGGAAGTATAAGACTTTAGAGGATGCTAGTGTAGTTTACTCTAATGCCATCAAGTTATAAGGGAGTAGAATCCATCTGTATTTCTGGAGTAACAGGATCTCAAGCGCTAACTGCATTGGAGGCTGAAATAAGCCTAACTGGGAATGAGTGGCTAAAGCACCCCACTGTGTCTGGCCCAGAGACTCCATGCATCCTTGATATACATTACCTCAGAGTAGGATACTTCAAGAATCCAAAAGGATACTGTTGGCCTTCAGTATATATTTCTTGCAGATGGAGGACATTTATCAGCTGTTCTTGCCTTGCCCAGTCTTTCAGAGGATGCTTTGCCAAAGGACTGGGAGAAGCAGGTGCAAGTTGTTACAGTGACAACACACTGATGGCAGTGTTGCACCAACTGAGACTGATTCCCATCCGTATGCTGATATGTCAACTGGAGAGCCAAGGAGTAATCAAAGCCAAAGACTGGCTCACCTTTAACAATTTCATATGGCCAGTGCGAAAGTCCAGTGGAGAGTGAGAGGAATGGACTATCATGGCCTTAATGAAATCACACCACTCTTAAGTGCTTCAGTGCCAGGCATGCTAGAACTTCAATATAAACTGGAGCCAAAGGCAAATAAGTATTATTCCATAATTGATATCGCCTATGCGTTTTTCTCAATCCCTTTGGCAGCAGAATGCAGGGCACAGTTTTCTTTCAATTGGAGGGGCATCTAGTACCTGGAGTCGACTACCCCAGGGGGGGAAACAGAGTTTTACCTTTTGCTATGGTCTGATCCACACTGCACTGGAACCGGGTAAGTTCCTGAACTCCTGCAGTATGTTGATGACATCCTAGTGTGGGGCAACACAGCAGAAGTAGTTTTGAGAAAATAAACCAAATCCTTCTAAAAGCTGGTTTTGACATGAAGCAAAATAAGGTCAAGGGACCTGCACAGGAAACCCAGTTCTTAGGAATAAAATGGCAAGATAGATGTCATGAGTTCCCTATGGATTTGATCAACAAAATAATTTAAATCCTCACCAACTAGAAAAAGGGAAACACAAGCTTTCCTAGGTGTTGTGGGTTTCTGGAGAATGTATATTCTGGATTACAGTTTGACTGTAAATCGTCTCTATCAACTGACCCAGACAAAGAATGATTTTACATGGAGTCCTGAGCTACAACAAGCCTTTGAACAAATTTAACAGGAGGTAGTTCATGCTGCAGCCCTTGGGCCACTCCAGACAGGACAAGATGTAAAAAATGTGCGCTACATTGCAGCTGGGGAGAATGGCCACACTTGAAGCCTCTGGCAGAAAGCACCGGGGGAGACTCAAGTTTGATCCCTAAAGGTTTCAAAGTCAGAGATAGAGGATCCAAAGCCTGTTACAGTGAACCCAAAAAACACACTGAGCAATACAGTCTGGGTTATTTCTGTGTCGGGGAAAGGCATGGTTGTCCAACCTTTTGGCTTGCATGGACCGCAGTGAGTAAATAGGAATCATCTCAAGCCTCGTATATGATATTGTTGAAGTATACAACTAACAAACCTTTTTTTATTTATTTGTATTTTAATGGAAGCATTTAAAACTACAGCAACTAAAACATAAAACTAGTGAGATATTTAACCATGTTTTTTTGTGAAACTAATGCATCTGGTTCAGTGGAAATATTTCAGTTCTTGGTGAGTTCTCCAGGTATTTTTTGATCAGAGATTTTTGATGAAATTCTGCTCTCCCTGTCCTTCACTCTTGAAAACAGTTTAGTAAGGAACATTTTTCTCTGATCACATAGGTCTTATAAAAGTCTAGTAGAGAGACGTGATCAGATTTTTCTTTGAGTTGAATCTCTGATTGTGTTCTATATGTTCAGTTTGAAAATTCACAAGTAATGTATTTATGTCTACTGAAAGAGGGGTGCTTGGCAGGTAAGAGCAGCTGCCACAAGGCCATGAATCAGGGGCTGGGTCACAGTATGAGCAGGGCCAAGGCACATGTGGCCCACAGGCTAGGAGTGTCTTGGACATGTCTGGGCAAAGGCGAGCCTGTACATGGTCCTGGATTCACTTGGTAGGTTATGTGTAAGGACGGTGAAATCTGATGTGTACCTTAAAGGAATTTGATGTTTGTTGAGAAGAGCCAGCAACCAGTAATGGTACAGTAAGAATCAACTAGATTGAAGAAAAATAGATTCTAACCCTTTTCTCAAAACCATAACTGGCTTCAACATGCAATAATCCAGCACCATGCATCATCTGTCCTGCCCTGAAGGACTATTACGATAGATGGAGCCCAAAGTCATGGACTAAATGAACTCTGTGGACAATTCAGAGGGCTTGCCCATAGACTACTGGAATGATTCCCATGTGATTAATCAGGATGTGTGGGAAAGTGTAGGAACTGAGCATGATGTGAATTTTACAGAATAAGGGGTGGATGTTGTCGTGGTTTCTGATGAGAATGCATTTATAGCACATCAGTATGCTGCTGTTGCTAAGTGATAGGAGTGTGCAGAAAACTTGACCAGACCGCTCAGTGGAACAGCAGCTGCCATTATGGCATGGCAGCAGGCAACAAGACTGCTGGCTTGAGTTAGGCAAGAGATTATTCCATTCCATGTGACGTCATGCAGAAAGGCTATCAAACTGTGGGGAATTGTCTGGGGAGTGGGCTGCTGCTCAGGGTTTAGCTGGACATTGGTCAGTGGGTGGTGAGACATTGCTTTGCAAGTGGGCTGTTGGTTGGCAGGCATTTGTTTTGTTAGCTGGGCATCAGTTGGCAGGTGAGTAATTACATTGTGGATATGTGTGTGTGTATAGTTGTGGTTTTGTTTTTATTTTTCTTTTCTGTCTTAGTAAACAGTTTTTATTTCAACCCATGATTTCTATTTTGTTTTCAGTTTTCTTCCCTGTCTCACCTGGGGAAGAGTGAACAAATGGCTGTGTGGTGTTCAGTTGCCTGTCAGGTTAAACCACAAGAGAATTGGACATGTGGTGCAAGTTCTGTATGGGCTTGACCTGTAATTGTTGCAAGATAAGATTTGTGAGATCCTTCTATTTTCTGCACCAATTTTCCAAGCTGATTTAATACATTTGTGATCTGTGTTCTGGCTGATTCAAAAACAGATCACTGAAACTGATAATGAGAGAGGAGGGGAAAGTTTTTCATATTTTTTACCAACTTATTGTTTGAAAACATGATGCTGCTCATTGGTAAGCATGAAATACTGATGAGAGTCTAATGAAGTATTCACATTACAGACACACTGTAAATCATATGCAAGCATTTTTTGTGTGAAGGCAAGAGAAAAATTAATGTTTCTGTGCATTAGAAGAAGAATGATATCAGGAAAAAGTATTGCTGTTCTGAGAAAGCTAGGTCTGATAATAAAAGAGTTAAAATGGGTTAATAATATAGTCAGTAAATAAAACTTCCACAACATTTTAAAGTTATAGTTGTGTTTTTATTCACTAACAGTCCTTCAGAAGTCTAGCCATCCACAAGTGCATCAAGAAACCAGAAAAAACAGAGAAACAAAACAACAATAGCAAAAAAAACCCACACAGAACTGCTCAGAATGATCTGGAGGGTACTAGAGTAAAATTAATAGATAAACTAAGTTTAACTTTTGGAAAAGCTTGCATTTTGAGTACATACGTAATAATAAAAAATCCAAGAGGTATATGTTTTTTTATAAAAGATAGCAAAAATGAGAAAAATAGTTGTAATCTCTTAATTAATATTGTGTGCTTATATTGTATATAATCTTTCCATGTTTTATATAGGAAAAGCATAAGCAGGAGTTAGAAGATATGAGAAAAGCTGGACATGAAGCCTTGAGTATTATTGTTGAAGAGTTCAAGGTAAATGAGTTAAGACGGCACATTTTCCAGTGTCATACTATATAATGAATATGCACTACAGATGGTCTTCTTTAATACTTAGTTTTGGTTGCTCAGCCTCTTTCATTATAAAACCATTTTGTTGGTTGCTTCCAGTTTAGACTGCTTGCCCTGAAATTTTACATAGCGTGTTTTCTCTCTCTGCACTTCAGTTAAAGGGGAAACTTCAGATAAAATGTTAGCCATTTTCATTAGTGAAAATTAAATCTGGAGTGCAAGAAAAATGCTTAGTCAATTGTGTTAAACTTTGATCTTAATTACTTAGTGTGCACCTACATTTTGGATCTCCTTGGCTTTGACAAACTTCAAACTGTAACCTCACAGAGCAATTGAGCAGGTTTTTTAAGTATTTTATTTATTTATTTTCACAGCACTAAGAGGAGTTCGGGATAAAATAAGGCTGAATCTGTAACTCTTTTCATGTTGTTCCTATTTGCACTGAGCCAGTAAGATACAGGAACGGAACATTATTGTACAGGATCAATCTGTATCTATTGTACTGCTTTGAAAACATAATAATAAGAAATGCGCAAACCTAAGGATTCTAATTAGACTTAATTGAGGTAAACAAGGTGTGACTGGAAAAAACTGATTGTAGGAAATGGAAAATAGAGTTGTTGCTGAGAATGAGAAGGGAAATATGCTGTCAGCTGGGAGCACCAAACTGGTAATGTCGTTACTTAGGTTTGGTTTGGAACTGGCAAAGCAAGAAAGGATGGTACTGAGACTGTCATTTCATTCAAGTAGTAAGCTGAAAGGTTGAGTCTAGGGCCTGCCTGCTGGTCAAGAAACCTGCAGTGCAGAAGAGGTTAGGCCGACTTCTTTGTTTTCAGGAAATATCAATATCTTACTTTATATTTATCTCTCTGGAAGTGTCAGGACCGACAGCTCCAGGAGGGCCATCTATACCGGCTTCTAAGTCTGTTGCAAAACCTGGAACTAAATGCTATGCAAAAACTTTTTTTTGTTTAATTAGATTTTGTGGGGCTTGTAGCTTCTCTTCCTTATATGTAGGTTAGGCCTAACACGTTCCAAGCTTGAGAAAGGACCACTGTAGGATACCTGATGATGCATTTAGGAATACTTTCTTGAAAGAAGGTATAGGATGGGTCAATGAACACATGTTGTATCTCAGCATTTTTCATTTCTGTTTTGCACTAGCTTTGTATAAAATGTCTGTTTCCATGTGACCTTACAGTTAGAAAAAAAGAGATCAGTGATCTATTGGTAATTGCTGCATTTATGTTTCTTCCTCTTTATTTCTGAAAATGTAAGCAAGTTGTGAAATGCACCTATTCTATTGTAGTGAATGAACAGATACATTTTCCACCCTTTCAATGCCTTTGTGTGAGCTAAAGAAGAGTTGCATGGATGACAGAAGGGATTATTTAAGGAATATCTCTTCATGCTTATCTGGGTAAAATGATACACATATGTATAATTTTTTTAGAATTATTTTACAAGTCAAAAGCAGTTGTGAAACTCTGACATACCATCTTGAAAAAAGGATTTAAATTTTTCAGTTTCTATGATACACAAAAGATTAGGTATTCAATTGAATACAGTGATTCTTAGCAATGTTTAGCATGCTATTTCTCGTAAACTGTTAGTCTTCAAGTTATACAAATATATTCTAATCGCCATAGAATGAGTCCATAGAAAAGGACTCAAAGATCATCTAGTTTCAACCCCTCTGCCATAAGTAGGGTTGCCAACCACTAGACCAGGCTCCCCAGAGCCACAACCAGCCTGGGCTTGAATGCCTCCAGGGTTGGGGCTTCCACAGCCTCCTTGGGCAACCTGTTCCAGTGCTTCTCTACCCTCCGAGTGAAAAATTTCCTCCTAGTATCTAACCTAAATCTCCCCTGTCTCAGTTTAAAACCATTCCCCTTTGTCCTATCACTATTCACCTTCATAAACAGCCATTCCCCCTCCTATTTATATGCTCACTTCATGTATTGCAAGGCCACAATGAGGTCTTCCCGGAGCCTTCTCTTTTCCAAGCTAAACAAGCCCTGTTTCCTCAACTTTTCCTCATAGGAAAGGTACTTCAGCCTTGTAATCATCTTAGTGGCTCTCCTCTGGACTCGTTCCAAGAGCTCTGTGTCTCTCTTGTACTGGGGGCCCTAGGCCTAGATGCAGTACTCCAGATGGGGCCTCACAAGAGCTGAGTAGAGGGGGACAATCACCTCACTCTCCTTGCTGACTACCCCTTTTTTTAATGCAGCCCAGAACACAGTTGGCCTTCCGGGCTGCAAGTGCACGCTGCTGGCTCATGTCCAGCTTCTCGACCATCAGGACTCCCTGGACATTCTCTGCAGGGCTGCTCTCAAGGAGTTCTTCCCCCAGTCTGTATAAACACCTGGGATTGCCCCAGCCCAAGTGTAACACCTTGCATTTGGCCTTGTGGAACCTCACATTGGCCCACTTATCCAGCCTGTGCAGCCTGATGCCTTCCCTTCCCTCCAGTGTATTGACTGCACTGGTCAGCTTGGTGTCATCTGCAGACTTGCTGAGGGTGCACTCAATTCCATTATCTGTCATTGATAAAGATGTTGAAGAGCTCGGTCTCAAGACCGAGCCTTGAGGGGCACTGCTTGTGACTGGCCTCCACCTTGACATAGAACCATTGATCACAATCCTTTGGCTGTGACCAGCCAACCAATTCTTAATCCACGGAGCAGTCCATCCTTAAATCTATGCCTCTCCAATTTAGAGAGAAGGATGTGGTGATGGACCATGTCAAAGGCTTTGGAGAAATTCAGGTAGATGACAACACTATGTTGGTCACATCCAGGAAGAAATTCACAGTTCCCATAAAATCCATGGAGCATTGGGCAGTCTGACATGAGGGAGGCCGTGCTCATTGCTGATACACTGACATGGGTGCAGAGAGAATACCCATGGCAACATACGTTGCAGAGATATTATGAGCCAGCATGCAAATGAGCTCCCAGAAAAATCACAATAAAGGCTTTTGTTTGCTCAGAGGAACATTTTTGTGGCATTTTGAAGTGGAATTTGCCCTTCCCCTGTCCACTCCATCATAGAAGGCCACCAGATTAGTCAGGCACAACATTCCCTTGGTGAAGCCACGCTGGCTGACTTGAATCACCTCTTTGTCTCATATGTGCCTTAACATAACTTCTAGGAAGATCTGCTCTTTGATCTTCCCAGGCACAGAGGTGACGTTCACCAGCCTATAACCCCTGGGTCATCTTTTCTCCCTTTCTTAAAAATAGGAGCAATGTTTCCCTTTTTTCAGTCACTGGGGACTTCACCCGACAGCCATGATTTTTCAAATGTGATGGAGAGCAGCTCAGCAGCTACATCCGCTATCTTGCTTGGAGCCCTGGGATTGATATCATCCAGCCCCATGGACTTACATACATTCAGATTCATCAAGAGGTCTTGGACTTGTTCCATTGTTACAGTGGGACAGAATGTGCTCCTTTCACCCGCACCTAGAGCTTCAGGGTCCTAGTAGACATGGGGAGGAACCTGACCACTAGTGAAGACTGAAGCAAAGCTCTTATTGAGCATCTCAGCTTTTTCCATGTATGAGGAAGCCAGCTCTCCATCCTCATTTATTGGAGAGGGCATACTCTCCTTGATCTGTCTCCTCCTGCTTATGTACCTGTAGAACCCCTTCTTGTTATTTTTCACATCCCTTGCCAAGTTCAGCTTTATCTATGCCTTGGCTTTCCTGATCTTATTTCTACACATATGGACAACGTCCCTATACTCTTCCCAGGCTACACAACCCTGCTTCCACTGTCTTTACATATGTTTTCCCTCAGTTGAAGCTGCAGGTCCTTGCTTAGCCACCTCCTCTGCTCAATTTCCTCTGCTGTGGGATGGAGAGCTCTTGTGCTCTCAGAAGGGTGTCCTTAAAGAGATGCCAGCTCTGTTCTGTACCTATGCCCTCAAGGACACTTTCCCAGGAAATCCCATCCAGCAGTTCTTTGAGCAGCCAGAAGTTTGCTCTCCTGAAATACAAGGATGGTACTTTTTGCCAGGCTTGCATTCCTCCAGATCACAAACTCCTCCCAGGGCATGATCACTGCAGCCCAGGCTGCCTCCAGTCTTAACCTCTCTGATGCTTTTCTCTGCATTGGTGGGCAGCAATGCGTAAGCACCAGTAAGGCTTCACCTTGGATCTTTCCGTCTAATACCTTGGCCAGGAAGTTATCCTCATCAGACTCCAGGAATCTGGATTGTCTGCCACCCACTGTGCTGCTATCCCAGCACATATCCAGGTGGTTGATATCCCCCAACAAGACAAGAGCCCCCAAGTGTGACACCTCCCGCAGTTGAAGAGAAAAGGCCTCATCAACAGGCTCCCTCTGATCAGGTGGCCTGTAGCAGACCCCAACCACTGGATGCCCTTTACTGGACCGATCCCTGATTTTCACCCATAAGCTCTCAACCTGTTCATGGCTCAGACACAGTTCTTCACAATCTATCCACTTCCTAAGATAAAGGGCAACTTCCGCTCTCTTCCTACCCTCTCTATCCCTTCTGAAGAGCTTGTAGTCTTCACATATTCCAGTCAAGGGATACGTCTCACCACATTTCAGTGATAGCAACCAGATCATAATTTTCCAAGCACATTGCGGTTTCCAATTCCCCCTGCTTATTTCCCATGCTGCTTGCATTAGTGTAAAGGCACTTCAGATGGGCTTTCTGGCATCGAAAGGTTTCCTCCGCTGCTTCCTAGAGGGACACGAGAAGGCCTCTTCTGAGGAATTCCCACAAGATCCTACAGGACAGTTCAGAGGTTTTTCCATATTATCTCCTACAATGACAACATTCCCAAGCCCTTTTCTGTCCCGTTGACCTCCCCCATCAAATCTGGTTGAAATTTCTGAACTACACACTCCACCCTAGTGAGCGTCATTTTATCCCCACCCACCTTCATACCTAGTTTAAAGCTTTCTCAGTGAGCCCTGCCAGCTCCTTGGCTAGGATCCGCTTTTCCCTTGGAGAAAGGTGAGACCTGTCCGCAGCCGTCAGGCCAGGTGCCGAGTAAACTGCCCCATCATCAAAGAACCCAACCTTTCAGCGACTTATTCAAAACCTGCGTTTCCCTAGACCGCTCCATATCCCTTAGCACCCCAGAAGGGAGAGAAGAAAATACTCCTTGCATACCCACTCCTTCAACCATTTGCCCTAAACTCCTGTAATCTTAGGATGAGATTTCATAGTCATGAAATTTGTATTAAAAAACACAGAAAAATAACTAAAAAATGAACTTAGTTTTCTGAGTAAGGCTAAGTTTCCCCTTTTCACATTTGCCTCATTTGATTTAATTTCTGTGTTTCATGTTTCAACATGACTAATTAAATATTACATTTTATATTACGTTATAAAATATTATCACCTATCATCTGCGGGTTCCATTTGAGTTTGTTTCACATTTTTAAACAGTACTACACCTGAGAAATCTCTTTTTTTGGCAGAGATTAGATTTACTTTAATACTGCTTTCCAGAAGGCATGAAGGAGGATAGTAAACTTTTTTTTTTTCTTTTCAAGTTCAAGTGTTTAGTGGTATTGTACTGACAGAAGTCTATAGCTATTAGAGTTAGACTCCTATCATCGTCTGATAGCCAAATGTATTATTTAACATAAACTAATCAATTAATTAGTTTTGTTCATTAGTGAATTAAATATTTGATTATCAGAAAAGTTGCATATAATATATTTAGATATAAATAATCTCAGCTATATTTACCCCATCAAGACAGACACTAAATGTTTTTGTTTTGTTTAACTGCTAGTTTATTTATTTAATTAATTAATTATATGTTCTTGTTTTTTTTAACATTGGGTCTTGACATCCTTATGCTCTTCTCTATGTTTTATGGTCAGAGGGAGCAAGGCAAATGTAGGGTGTCAGCAAAGAATTTAGTACTTTTCTAGACAATGTGTGCCAGTTAAAGGAAATTGGGTTAAATTTGTCTTTTATTTTGTTTTTAAAATTTACTTCTTTCTGATAATTTATTAAATACAGAACATGCATTTTATATGGCTTGCCTCATTTTCTTCTAAATGACTTGAAAAGATTTGGGCCTAGATGAAAATTTTATTCTGTATTTTAAAGACCTATTTGGCTGGAGTGCTCTATCTCTCCATAGAAAAAAGATTTTCTCTGAACAGTTATGATAGCACAACATGAAAGCTATCTCTGAAATGCCATGTCATGCAGTATCACAGCATTTCAGTGTCTATGCCTTCTCACTTGGCCAACTAGTCAAAGACATGCAACTTTTAGTTGCTGTTTAAACTCTGTTAGTAATGTAGATGAGAGAAAAGGAAAGCTTAAATTTCTCTAAGTGTGGAATTTTATGTACAGAAAATAATAGTAAAAAAATTTAGAAGATCTTAATGATCTCTTTATGCTATTTAATGGATAACTTTTTTCCTCTGAAAAAACTGTACATTCTGGGTATGGCTTAAGTATTATCAGTCAAGTTTGCACAGTAAAGTCCATAAAGTGACTCAACCTTTAGCATGAATAACAATAAACTGAGAAATGGCATTGCATCTTAATGCACATGCACATGAATGCACATGCACACAGGTGCACACACACAGATTTCCTAATGTTATTATTTTTTTGTTAATGTCTTTGTACTTTGACTGACTTCCATTACTACACATTTGAGTGTGTGTTTCCTGGGGGGTGTTCTTTTATGTTTAAAATTACACAAAATTTCCATCTGCTTTTATTTGATTTGTGGTTGCAAAGATCATGCTTGGCCCATGGAATCTTACACTGTGCCGAGAGGATGTGGAGTTCTGTCAGCCAGTGAAATATGTCTGGCTTTTTTTTTTTCTTCAGCAGGTTTCATGTGCTTCTCTTCGTGTGTGGTCTCACTATTCTGAATATATTTAACGGAAATACTTGCCCTCTCTATCTTCTGTGTGCTGCTCTCTTTTAAGCAGCCTATGTATAAGAAATCCGAGATCCAAAAAAATTTCAGTCCTGACTGAAAACAAGGTAGTGTTACATAGAAAGGTACATTAATAGTTGCACATTCCAAAATTTATAACAGCATTCTGCATTCTGGTTAGACAGAAGTACTAGTTGATGTGCACTTAATAATGTACATCCCTGTTTATATATGTGTGTGTACACACACATATATAATTATATATAATTTTTTTATTATTATTTCTTTTTTGCAGTCATTGCTACAGTGTACAGTTCAACAGCAAGAAGCAGCTACTGAAAAGCAGTATATACTAGCAATTGAAAAACATTCTTACAAATGTCAAGAGCTTCTTGATGCTCAGGTATGTATGTGCATTTACAAAAACTTTTATGATTGTCTTTTAGTTTCAGCTCTTCTCTGTTTGAAAAAAAAGTGCCTTTTGGAGCAAAGAGGATGACCAGTCCTTCATTTTGTGTCCTCAATGTAAGAGTAAACACAGTTGCTTAAAAATGCTAAGTGCGTGATAACTCTGCATGTGTTGGATTTGAGTATTTTATAACATTTTAATCTCCTTAGAACAGATTCAAGAACAGCAAAAGTACTGTTCCTATAATCTGTTACATTTGCATCTCAAACCGAAAGGCAGGGACAGAAATGTTCAAGAAATTCAAATTTATCTGGGGATCTAAGTGAGATAGGTATTAATTGGTGTTGGGTTTTTTTTGTTTATTTTCCGTAGAACCCAACAACATAAGAGTTACAGTGTGCATAAGACATAATGCCCTGTTCACAATTCAAATAATATCTGCATTTAATGCAGCTTACTCTTGGATGTCTGAAGAGATTTTGTTCACAAACTTAAAAGTATCTTCATTCACCTGAGTCAAAGTTTGCCATCTTTATTTGTTATATGTGACTGAAATTTTGAAGCCTAATCAAGCAGACAAAAGGGCAGAGAGTGCTCTCTGGTAGAACTACCAGACTTAATAAACTAGAATTTATTCTGACTATAAATTTGTTGAAAGAGTTCTGAAAAATGTTTACTGTATTTTTATTTGTTAATAGATCAGTTCTTAAATGTATACTTCTCTGTTTTACTATTTCCTTCTGTTCAAATGATTTTGTTCTAACACTTACTGAAGATAACTGAAATGATTACTTACGATTATACACCAAGTTGTTTACCTTTCTATGTTATGGCATAATGCATATATATATTTATATGTAAAATTATGAGTATCCATATCACTTCAAAGAATTTTTTTGCTGTAGCGTTAATCACATGGTGCAAGTATGTTTTGTACACAAACACAACTTCTTTTTCTGGTTTCCTTTAATATTCTTGTCTGAAAAGCAAGATTCGGCTTTCAAATTTTAAGCACACTTAATTCCCTCTTAAATTTTCTGCTGTTTTATTTCCAGTTCCATAAAATCAAGATTCTCTCACTTAATGTACTGACTCCTATATTTTCTCCTAATTCTTTGCCTTAACATTCCTACCTCTCCTCCTTTGGTAAGGAAGAATGATTCTTGCTTGTTTAAAACCTGTCATTATTTCAGTTTATTTCAGTTTCAGATTTTAAAGCTTTTATCAGAATGCCTGTAATGGAGATGTGTGTCGTTTGTCTGGAGAAGTATTGATAACTGCTGCTGATACTTGTATAGTATTGTATGTTTCAGCCTAGAGGAAGATATGAAAGCTCTAATTATATCTCAGTTTGACATGCATGATTTTTCAGCATACTGACTAGCTGGAGCTACCGTTATCATCACCTTCTCCAGGAGGGAGCCATCAGCTCCTCAAAAAAAATATCCGTGGTTCTGAATCTTCTTTTAGCTGTCTTTTTCACTGCACTCCTCTTCTGGTTCTGTTTCCATAGGTCTTCAATTTAAGGCCTAGCTAAAATTGCAAGAAATTCTTCAGGGTAAAATACTCTCACTATTTTCTGTTGTGGTCCTTCTTACAGGTGCCTTCTCCACAGGTTCTAAAGTCAGAAAGTTCTGGTCTGTATTTTAGTTTAGTTTCATTTGCTTGAAGTACGTGTGTGTTATATAGTATTCTTTCTTTTCTCAGACTGGAAAAGCCTCAGATTTTGGATGTTAATGTTTTCGAAACCACCTGGGATAGTTTGCACTGTTGTTAAAAAAATCTGCTCAAGTTAATTTGATCAGTGCACTCCCTGACTACACTAAACTGTCTTTCATTGAAAAGTCCATTTATATAGATGTTATGACTACCCATTGCTCTTGAAGCTACTACTTGAGATATGAGTTGTCAGCATCACTTACTATCCAGTTACTGTCAACGGATGCTGGGTAGTTATGCATCTACCCTTTTTCTTAATCCATTAATGTCAGTCAATTGTCTGTTATATCCTTTATCACACGTTCCTTAGGTGTGGAGGTTATAGGTCCTCACTTTAAATCCCATGCTGGAAAGTGCTGAAAGAACCAGTTCCCTCAAATTTGCTGATGACCACTGTGATGGGTACTTCCTGGTGCAGTCTCTAGTGTTGCTGTTTATTTTCCAAGGGAATGTGCTCTCAGATCTATATATCAAGCAGCAAAGCAAGTATTCCCATGGCATTTTAAGATTTGTGATGGCGCTGGTCAGCAAACAGGACAATAAGAACTTCTTTTTTGCCAGAAAGCAGTCTGGTTAGATAATAAACATTTAGGAAAGCAGTGCATGTCAGTTGTACACATATAGTGTTTGAAGATTACAGAGGAAATGTTATTGGTAAGCAAGTGTCAACTTAAAGTGGGAAAATCACAAATTTCATGTTTTTTTGAGGCACGCATTTGATGTTGTCTCCTGAAAATGAACGCCAGTTTTGATCTTGTGTTTGAGCTTGTGTGTTTTACAAAAATGAAAATCTTTATTAGTCTTCCAACTTTATTTGAATCTGCCCACTATCTCAAGCTAGTTAAAAGGTGATTTTTTCAGTCCCTTTGCACTGTTAATTTAGCTGAGATACTGTCAGTCTCAACAAAAAATCTTATTTGGATATTGCATTTGCTAATCCAAGTTTTCAGATCTTCCTTGGATTCATGAAGTTTCAGATGAAAGCAGCTCTGTAGTGTGATTTTTACTCTTCGACTTTTGCTTATGTAGCAGAATCTCCACTTCTTATTATGAATTAGTCATCTATTCTTGCCAATACTGAAAAAATAAGTAATGTTATATGGTTTTTCTTCTTTATTATTTTTCTGTCAGCTATTGTTTAAAAAAATATTTTCCACATTTTTGCTATCCTCCATTAGCAAACATTTTGCTGTTTATAAAGCCTATATTTTAGGAATCCATTTTGTCTTATTTTTCCTGGTGCAATGGAGCAATTGTGAATAACTCATACAGTCTGCAAAATGAATTGAATCACAAAACCAGAAGAGCTAGTGAACACTTTTCATTCATGTTTTTACTACGGTCTCTTATCTCTGTATTCTTAGGGCAGTTTGTGGACTATTTCAATAGTCTTTATTACTATGCATGCTTTCTGAGAAAACTGTTTTTAGTGTTAGACAACTGAATAGCTTCTTATTCTATTTATAAACAGTAACACACATTTACAGCAAAAGATTTAAAGCAAAAGATTTAAAGATTTTACTGTTGTCTTGCATTAATATCAGCCTCCAATGTGCATCAGGTTATTCAGATTATTCTGCACGCTGCTGAATTGAGTATTAAGCTTAGTTGTTTTATTACCACTATTGTAATTTTCCTCTGTATTGTATTGTTTTAACTTTTTAGTAATGTTTTGCTGGTTTCTGAGCTTCCTCTTAGAAACATTTTGCTGCTTTGTTAGCCACTTGGCCCACATACTGGCAAAAAAGATACAGTTCAACCATACAATAATAGGTTATAATTTGAGGAAGTGGAAATATGTAACAGATGTTGGAATTTTTAGACAGATTTTCCACCTTGCACTGCCAAACACTCAGATGCCAGTGATAGTAAGGACAATGTAAGAAGTTATGGTTACCAGATCTTGACATCTGATTTGCACTTAGTTTAGCAGAAGTGAAGAAAAATATAAAAGAATATGCTGGTAGCTAGCCTTTTTACAGGAACAAAAAATTATTATTTTTTAATGACTGCCTTTTTCCTCAGGATAATGTTTTAAATTGGTAGCAGTGGACATGTTTTGCTAACTTTACAAAGTCCTTCTGTTATAGCTCTCTATTTTTGTCATCTCTCTTTCAAATGGAAATAAAGGGATTTTTCCCACAACGTGAGTTATTTCTTACTGTTAGATTCCTTCATGAGATTGAAATAAAAGTAGAATTTAGTGGGCTAAGGTTTCTTGTTAAAATAGATGAACAAATTTGAGTCACTGAATTCTTTAAAAGCCCAGTCCATTCGGTTATGTTTTCTTCAGTGCTTGCTAACTGTTTCTGTAGATGATTTTTCCCAGGTTTTGAGAGTCAGGGCTTGTTCTAGTCCTATGTAATGAAGGCAAAAAAGTTTTTACTATATTGGAAATGAGAGTTGAAGTCTTATTATCAATGTGGGTTTTTTTATAAACTACTCACTAGAATGCAGTTTCATGAGATGAAAAATTCTGTTATAATTTTTTTATGAGAAAAACGGGTCATTCACTTGTAGTGTAGGTTAGACATATTTTTCAGAATGTTATGAAGGGAAGATTCCAAGCATCATTTCATTACTGTGTGAATTTATTTTCCTCAAATTAGAAAATATGTAAAGGTGCAGGTTTGGTTGACACATTAGAAGAAAGGGGCACCATCCTGAGAGACCACAACAAACTCAAAAGGTGGGCGTGTATGAACCTAATGAGGTTCAGCATAGCAAAGAGCAAGATGTTGCACTTGGGTTGGAGTAATCTCAAATACGTACAGACTGAGAGAAGAAATCCTTGAGAGTAGATCTGCAGAGAAGGACTTGGGAGTCTTGGGGGATGAAAAACTAAACATGAGCCAGCAGTGTGTGCTTACGTCTCAGAAGGCCAATGGTATCCTGGGCTCCATCAGAAGAGGGGTGGCCAGCAGGGGCAGGTAGGGGATTGTACCTCTCTACTCTGTCTTCAGGAGGCCCCATGTGGAGTACTGTGTCCAGGTTTTGGGCCCCCAGTACAGGAAAGGTGTGGAGCTGCTGGAGAGAGTCCAGAGGAGGGCCACAAAGATGACCAGAGGACTGGAGCACCTTCCCTATGAAGACAGGCTGTTCAGACTGGAGAAGAGAAAGCTGTGAAGAGTATTCACCGCAGCCTTCCAATATTGAAAAGGGGATTATAAAAAGGAGAGATATCAACTTTTTACTCATATAGATAGTGATGGGACAGGGGGGAATGGTTTTAAGCTCAAGGAGGGAAGGTTTAGATAGGATGTCGGGGAATTTCT